GTCACGACGGCCCTGGCCCTTCCGGACGGCCTCCACGAGTTCCGACGGTGCCGAGGCACGCCCGGAGAGTAGTGGTTTGAAGTGTCAGTGCAGAAACACCCGAGTGGAGAGGGTTCAGCCAAGGTCTCCCGCCGAAATCTCGAGGCTCAAAAATCTCAATTCTCACCTTAGCAACATCGACCCCCACACGGCGGCAGTATGCCGTCGCCAAAATTAGACTATCTTCGTCTAGTATTAAAAGCAGTTCTCGTAATACAAACTGGTCAGTTATACCTCTGCATGTTTCATAGCTGTTTATCCTATAATTTCACCGTTCCTTGATCGTAGCTAAGTCCAATCATCCTAATGTTAAGGCATCTATATCTACACTAATGAATCTATAGGTCTAACAAACACATCTTGGTTAGGAGATTGATTGCACCGCCTAAGTAAACGCGGCTTTCTATCATCAAGATGAAACGATAAGCAGAAGACCTCATGTACTGCGACCGTGCGACCTGTACTTAGACCGTACGAGGGATTAAGATGGCGCAGCTGAGTGTGCGAGCCAAGTACACTGGCGAGCACTGACATAGAGCCAGATTTAAACCTTCGTCAACGACACGGTGCGGCGACAAAGCGCGCAAAATTCAGTTTCCCGTAACACATTTAAGCACCGTAGACGCAGCCGCCTCCAAGCCACCTTTCGGCGTGGGAGGAATTCTTGATGACTCACTAGAGTGAACACCAGAAGTTGTCACATCCGGTGCCTTTGCAGATGGAATCAGTATCGAGCCCATTTTTGACGGCTGCAACCACAGTTAGACGCGCACAGAGCAAACCCATGGCAATTTAGATCTTTGGCAACCTCGACAAGTCTAGCGGTTAATTGGCGCCCGTACCGAAGAGCGCTCGTCCTGGGTGACAAATGACTTCTCGCGACGCCACTTGGTCGTACCCCGTAGCCAGACAGACATCCTTAGTCACGTGTCCGGAAGCCGGCAAGTACATACCACATTCCTTCTCTCGATGTTGAATCCGCCGTGTCCCTTCGTGTATGTCGTCACCTTGCAGAGGTCGAAGCAACAGGACCACGATCTCCACCAAGCCGAGGACAATGACGGATTGACAATATCTTCCACAATCTGAGCAAGCTTTATGAGCTTAGTTCACACCGCAGTTTTACCAACATCCTCCGCGAGAAAAATCCTCGGGCGCAGCCACCTTTACACAATCCTCGGGACTCGATCTTGACAACCTCGTGGCTTGAGTAGGAAAACTCCCTCACAGCTCATGTCGAACCGTCAGCTCTCTCTAACGAAACTAACATCCTGTTGAGTCGACTCACGACTTCTATGACGATCCCGAGATGGTGGTATATGAGATTGAACGAAGGGTCAATCGGTCGCACTATCACGAGCAAGACGTGCGCCGGGACTCATCAGGCACGACGCGTGCAAGAAGATCATCACGTACCAACAAGAGACACTCGCGCTCCAAGAGGTCTGCATTCTCCGCATTCCGTGGGCAACTCGCAGAGCGTGAACTTGGGCGCTGATGTAGATACTACCGAGTTCCCAAACCTCGTCTCCTCACCGCACTCCTCCTCACAAGAAGCTCTGGTTTCCTCCTCAGGTGCCCTTGGATATGTGTCGCCGTGCTGCTTCGGTTGCTCTGGATCATCCGATGATCTCAAACGTGACGCGAGTCTAGCGAGCGACTGAGTCTCCCTCTTCTTCGGGTCCCCTACATGTTTTCAACCCGTCATGTGGTGTAGATCCAGTTCTATGTCACCTTCTCTCGGTTGAAAACCAAGATACGCTTGGGGCTCTTCGCTGGCAGTATTTAAGAATCAGTCATGACACTCGAGGATAAATCATACCCTCCATGGGAAGAAGGGACCTGTGGGCGAGGAACCGTTTCCGGATCGCTGGGCACGTCAAACTCGGCATTCGCAGTTCGCGCTAGGTTTGCACAAGACTCGATCAACTTGATGACTAGTACGGCGATCGTCTTCGGTTGTATCGCACAGGCACTGCGCTCAAGACCCTCATATAGGCACACGACAAGCACTTCCCTAGTGTTCTTCCTCAATTTTGAACAGAGCGACGGCCCCTACAACACACTTCCTGGGATCCAGCGTCTTCAGCACCAGCTCGACTCGCACTACGGTCAATGCATCAACGGACTCTATTGCAGCAACATCATGACCGTTGTCTGGACAGACTCATGTCGAGCGCAGCCCACAAAGTCCCGCTGGCGCTCCGTCTCAGAGCCGAAACAGCTGGACCACTTCGTGACATCGCCATGCTCCTAGTGATGTAGCCTCTCTCACACCGTAATGTCCTCTTCTCGTCCGAGAGCCTCGTGAGAGGTGGCGTGCTCAAGCTCGCTAGTCCTGTTGTGATGGAAAGGGCCTCAAAACCTTCGGATCCCAGAGAGAAATGTCAATAGCGTCAATTGACTGTCTGGGGTACCTCTCTCCGGAGCCTGAGTCAATGACACCTATACTGGCGGCGCCGTCCCTCTTGCCGACTCGGGAAACCGAACGTCGCTGAGCAGAATCGTGCTCGGGATGAAAGCTCAAACCGCTTTTCCGCCGGATCGAGATACACAAGGATCCTTGAACTCAGAACACTCCTGTCACGATTGTTCGCGATCCTGGGGTGATCGCTGTACTTTCGCCCTGTGCGGACGCTCATGTTCCATGACCTTTTGCCCTAGCTGATGAGTTTGCTAGGCTCGAACACGAGGCATCAAGCGTAAACAGCAGTAGCTCTTTCTTGTTCTTAAGCTCGATGTGGTGCGCCTGTCATCCGACAGCTCTACATCCTCGCACACTCCTGTGGTTCCCGCCGGAACTCTTGGGCTCATGTCATATTGTGCAAGTACCTCTACACCGAAGAGCAATGTCGTGCCGTTTCCTTCGTGGTCTATCTTGTGGAGCGCGAACCGCGTTCTCATGAAGGACAACATTCGATGCATTCCGCTCTACGTCATCCTGTTCAAGAAATGCTTATTCATTCCGCTAGGAGTTGATTCAGTGTTGTCGATAGCATCATTACGGCCGACTTGTCCGAGACAGGTGTCTCTGTCGAGATTGTGTGATTTGATGCGACATCTACTAAAGGCTATTGAGAATCCCGTCAGGTCTTTTGAAGGACCTGAACTAGTATGGCTAGCACTTAGACCAGTTGTGAATGTAGGATGAAGAGTGTACCTCATTCGGCCACGTACTTATCGACCATCCTTGGGCCTTCTTACAGCTTCTCTAAGCCTCTTAGGGTCTTTGCTCGAAGCACTGAGTCGTCGAAAATTTTGAGCCACAGCTTTGCTTTAGAGCTGGTGTCAGCAGGCGGCTATCACTTCCTGTAGTGTAATGGTCGTTCCGCAGCTATTTCAGCTTAAAACCTGCCCGTCGTCGTTGCCGACGTCTTTCATTGTTTTGAGCCAAGTCACCTCCACATGTGTCGTTCTTAAGCGCGATCCTGGTACCCCTCCCTCTGAATCGACGTAACATGAATGCGACGAAAAAATGTCGGACTGCGCTTTTAGTATGGAGATTGAACTCCACCTCGAGTCTCGTCCTCTGACTTCCCAGGGACAACAGATGACACGAACTATGACCCTCGATGGGACATGTAAACCATCTGGTGGCTGTATGGAAACGATCCATGATCACACCAGAATCATAGCCTGACGAGAGAGCCAAACCATAAGGCGTTTGTAAATGTCTCGACCCTTCAATATACGGAATCTTTGCTGATAAGTATACTTCTGTATCTTTGTGTGCCGGTGTCCCCCAAAGATACAGAAGCATACTTACTAACAAAGATCTTCCCACTTTTGTGTTGACCACTAATAAGCATTCGAAGTAGGGATAGCGTTGGTGTCCGAGAGACGTCGTTCGGCCCTTGTCGCATGAGTTTCTCGTACCGTTCTTCTTGGAACATTCCTCTCGTACCGCTTCTCGTACCATTTTTTTATATCGCTTTCTTGGCGTCAAGACTTATGTATAATAATCTGATTGGAAGTCTTAGTCGAGCAGCCAAAGTCACGCAAGAAGGCTCTCGCCAAGTGGTTTTCTTCGGAGGTTAACTTGGGGCGCATCTGCTCGGGTCACCGAGCTTGTTGAAAGTGGCGCGCTTAGCGCGAGTGGAGGCCGATTGGCTGAGAATGCCAGCGAGATAAAACCCTTCTGAGCTACCACGCTCGTCCTTCTGGAATATGTTAGTCACTCGACCAGTTCCTGCCCTCTGTCTCGTGGCATATTCCGACTAGATTTGGGCTGTAGATGCAGGAATTGGATGCGAGACCGTTGATGGCCCTGTGTGACTGCCGCGATTTTCAGCGACCCGAGATTCGACACCGACTTCATAGCCTGAAGTTGACACGACGGTAGTGAAAGGCTAGTAAGTCATGGCATCGATCAACTGAGTGTCCCTGTGCTGCCGAGATCACCCAAATGAATTTGCGAACACAATTCAGAAGAACTATCGATTTGTGAAGCGAAAACACGTGTCACAAGTAATCATACCACGCCATCCTCAACTTGCATATGTATCGTCTCTTCGCAAAAGAGTTACCGTGGATACCATCAAAGATTCTTGTTTGCATGCTCTACTTTTGTAGTCGAGGCACTTGTCACGTCTATTGTGAGCCAGACTCTTCTTCTCTTGACCCTAGGCATGGTCTCGTCCTGTACATTGAACGAGTCGTTGATCACAGGGTTGATGACTATGACGGCTTCCCTACAATCACTATCGTCGGAAGGCTTGAGGCTGTAGCAGCGCATGACTGCCCGGATGGCGGAAATGTTTCCTCGGATGGTCGACTTGAGCCGAAGTGAAGCAGTAGTCGGCGACGTGTGACGTGGGGTCTTCCTCTATGTCGGCAAGGAAGTCGTCGCAGTTGTCAGAGTCCTGATCATCGTCGTCGTCGGAGTTGACCATGGCTGTCACCACGTCTTCTGACTCGTGCAGGATGGCTCTGGGAATGCTTCGGCCTTCTTCTTGATCTTCAGCCCTGTACATGGATAGTTGGTAAATCTTCGGACCATGAGGAAACTCAGCTCGCCGCCATGGTGTCTCTTTGGGAAGTTCGTCTCTTCAGACGTGTATTCGGATCTTGATGTGTTGCTGGTATGTCCACCATCTTCGGTCGCACGACCAGCAAAGCGGGCTTCGACGTAGACATCGTACCTCGCGAGTTCTACTGCAGGCCAAGAAGCATGGATGAAGTACTGTCCATCTGAATCCAAGATGGTCCGACGCTGCGACTGGCCCTTCAACCATGAACCCTACTCTTGCGCGGGCTATGAGACCGATGAAATTGTCACTGCAACTTCTCTTGTGCGAACCGGAATGTTGACCGAGCTTGACATCGGAATCGGATACATTCACGGCGAAGATGTTCGTGGCAAGACCCGGCGGACCCCGTAACGTTCGGGCATCGAGATGTCGGGGCGTCGCGGTGCCGATAACGAGTCGAAAAGCTCACGAGACAAGACACGACGCGTCAAAGCGGCAGAGAGCGAAGGGCAAAGACAACGAGGTGATACTTTAATCGTCCAACCTCGGACGGTATGGTTCTGCGCTTCTACACTCTGTTTCGCTACCCTTGGTCGCGTCAGCGCTTTCTGCCGCAGTCTGCGGTGAGCCGAGTTCTCTGGCCCACGTGACGATGTCTTGACACGAGACGCCGGATTTCCTCCAACCTGGCGAGCGCGTACGCCTGGAACCGCGTTGCACATGGCCTTACTAGACAGAACAGAAGCAATTGGCCACTACAATCCTACCGAGATCTCAAGAATTGGACAAGAGGAGGATAGCCTCGGGAGCAAATGAGACACTAGTCGCGCGTAGACCTTCGAGCGACAAGCAGGAAGAAATAGACGATTCGGACCAATCTGTGCAGCGACGTGTTTGGGATGGAACACAAGTTGGAATTCCCGCTCAATAGAAAGTCTCTGGCTCTTGAGGCTGCGCTGCCATGCCGGAACGAGTCTTCTGTCTCGTGTCGCAATTTTTGCTATCCTCGTCGCATCATGTGACACCTCCTCGCAATGCTCTTTGACTGGACACATCGGTGGTTTCCCAAGTGGCAAAGCTGACCACAGACTTCTGGCCGTCCTGAGATACCTCGTCCCGAGTTTGAAACCTACTTGGTCAAGATCAGTCCTGGCTCCTTTGTGTCTTCAACTCGGATTTCCGGACTTCATCTTCGACCTTGTCCATCGAGATGTTCACGGAGAATCGGTGAGGCGAATTGTATACTCTCCCACAAGTTTCCACGTATGCTTGGAATTCTGTCAGCGATTCTTGCCTGGTCGAGCTGTAAGTAACATCAGCGCTTGAGTTTCCGGTCGAAACCGAAAGGCTCTTCTCGGAGTCTGGACTCACAAACGTTCCTTGAGACTCTGCCCAAATGGACGCATTGGCTCTATTCGAAGACTATTCCGGTTCGCACACATGTTACACCAAAGCTCTGCCTCAGGTCCATTACGTAAGTATAACAGGGTGCTCTGCAGAGACTCGCAGCGCTTTCGCGTTACCAAGGAGAAGGCATCCGAGGTAGCTATCTTCTTACTTGCCATGACCGTTTGGCGTACGGATGCTAGCTGCCGGCAATAATTTGTTGGTCTCTAGCATCATCTGTCATCTTTCTACCTGGGGTCTCATTCTACTAATTACAGTCGGGATCATATCTCAACCTTATGATATATGGCGCCATCACCGGAGCTCACGACATTAGATAGTTCCTCGGAACATTGAACAACGCAACGATCACTGGTCCGTGCACACTCGACGCCCTTTGCCTGATGGCAGATTTCTATTCATTCTTGGATAGGTGCCAGCAAAGCTCATTGAATCATGCCTGATTCTAGTTGCCACTCCTCGTGATGTATCTGGAGTCTCGCAGGCGTATTCTCTTTCCTCTTCGTATTCTCTTTCCTCTTAACCTCGGCAGTGTGTTCGGCAATCGGTCACGTGAGCGATCTCGGTACAACCCATTCTCTTGCACAGGCGGGACAATACGTGGTCGAGACAGTACGTGGTCGAGACAGTACGTGGTCGAGATCCCGGCTCGTGATCATCGTGCCTTGTATGTCGGGGGATCAGTCATCGCATGCATTGACATGCCTTGCCCAGACTATCCGGCAAACATGGACATTCATCAGATTGAACAGCTGCCCAATCGAGATTCTTCAAGCCAAACGCGATGTCCAGCATAGTCGGTGCATGATTCATGATCACCGGGCGTCGTCTGATATGCACGCTGCTAAGCATCCTTCAGTTCCACTATGCAGGACGCCACGGCCGGGACCTCGGCATATCTTTGGTCCGATCCAGAGCCGCAAACACTTCCCGCGAGCTTGACCCACCTTGATACCACCTGGTTCAGTCATGTGAATGATACATATCTAGATCCGACGTGAGTCTTCCGCCATGCATTGCTGACGACGTGAGTCGGCAAGTCCAGCCAACCATCATTCCGACAGAATCCTCCCAGCCTGATTTCCGGGACAGGACATAGGTCGAACACATTACACGACAGGACCCTCAAAGAGGCAGACAAGGATTTCCTGTGCCAAAGCAGAATTGTGACAGGTCCAGATCAAATCTCCTCGGTTCCAGTAAGAATTTCATGTTTCCACTTCGCGATGCGACGTATGCTCTCATCGCCCGACCTATACCCTAACAGTCCGCAAACCCAGGAGATTGACAGACCGATCAACAGGCTATTCCGAGATGTTCTCGTACATCGCCGGTCTTTCGCGGGCTCGGTGGCTTGTTGAACGACTTGCTGTCGCCGCGTAATTGTGACCCATGTGTCATCGGAGCAGGATGTGACACGACATGATCGTGACCATTTCTGAGCATGGCCGGCATCTCTGCAGTGCTCGCAAGCCTTTATCACTGCCATGTGTTCCCAAAATCATCGCCCGAGAACACTAGTCCGAACAATCACTCGAAATTCATGGACCAATCCGGGATTTGTAACTGTGACTCTCGCGTCGCTAGTTCTCACGGCTTGATGATCGGCCTTCAGACCTGCCTAAGGTGAGAAGACCAGAATTTTGTTCAAGATTGGTTTCGCTCAAAGTTCGCAAGCCCTCTACTTTTCATCTGGACATCAGCCGACCGTCATGGTCTACAAGCCCATCGCAACTTCACTCAATGCTCACCGTGGGATAGTACTGTGCAAAGTGCATCAATCGATTCTTCATGATATATGTCATTATTGTGTCGTGGTTCTCGGTACCTCAACAGACACGAATCACGTCATTTCGCCTGGCCCGTCAAGGTCTCGCTTACCATGCTTCCCACTTCTGACCACCCATCGCAATCAGACGGTTGAACAACTCATCCCTCAATGCCATAGCGGTAATAGTAAAGACCTCCCCAGTCTTGCTCACAATCTCCATTCCATCAGCGACTTCGCGGTCGAGTGCCCAGCCGACCACCAATTTAGCTTTCCACCCGAGCCCACCGACCTTCTTCAGCTCCTTGATGTCATCGATGGGCACAGTCCAGATGGGATGCAGCTCTTCTTCACGTCCGAGAGAACCTTCGTCGGCAACCTTTTTGTCCAGGGTGAAGGAGACGGTGGGAACGGCCGTTCTGGTAGATATGACAGTGTGACCCTTCTTGCCGTGGAATCTGCAAGCAAAGTCGACGGGACCATCGATGTTGTAGTCCTTCGACTTGGGAACAGCACCAAGACGTTGCTTGGATTGTTCACTTCCTGCCTTTGCCTTGAGTCTGTCGGCACCGAGAGTGGTTTCAACAGTTCCTTTGACAGTGCTCTTGAAGAATGAGATGAGCTTGTGGCCCTTTTTGCCATGCTTGCTGTCTTTGCTGTGGTCGATGTCAGCACCAGCAGTCTGGTGAGCGGTGGTAGGGTCATGTGCCATGGCGGCGTCCAGCTCTTCTTGAGTCGCGTTCAGCGGCCAGTCGGCACCAGTCGCACGCAAGTGCTCTTCGGTGATCTCAACTGGCTGGTCCGGTGGGGGCTCCTTGCTGTGGGGCGGGGGAGGTAGAGGGGCCTTGTTTGCCTCACCGATGCGAAGCAAGGTGACGGTGAGTTGTGCATTGGTCGGGACGCCCTTGAGTAGAGTGTTGCGGATCTCGAGCAATTTCTGCCAATGGGGAAAGGTGCGATTGAGCCATCTAAGACCAGGTTGGATGACGGGGTCGCCAAAGAAGCCGAAGCCGACGCCGAACATGGCACCCTTGGTGAACATGTAGGCAGAGGTCAACAACGAGACAGCGATGAGGGGAACGACGACGGCGGCAAGGCGCAAACGGTAGAGATCATGAGGGAAGGGCGGCGTAGGAGACAGGGCGTTGGCGAAACGTTCCCACGTGTCGGCCACATCGGCGAGGCCGTGCATGATGGGTCTCATCTTGCTCCACATGGCTGTCTCCATGGGCACCTTGGTCTTGTCGTGTGCCGGAGCGACCGCCTTGCCTTCCGCCGATGTCTTTGCAGAGCTTGCACCCATTGCAATGGCAGTCGGGTCTGGGATGCTATCGGCCAGGCCTCCCTGGCCTGGTGGAGGCTCAGTCTGGGGGTGTTTCCCACTGGCGCTAGCAAGAGCGACAGAGGCGATGCCGTTGACAAAGTTGCTGGCTTCGGCTTCAGCTGCCTCGCCTTTGTATTGTTCTGGGGCTCCAGTAGCCGTGTCTGTACTGCCTAGCACGCCGGCCTTTGGCTTTTGCACGCCGCCAGTCTTAGCATCGACGAGGGCCAGGGGCGCAGGGGGAAACATGACATCCCGCGAGGGTGGGTAGACGATGAGGATGACGAGGGTGACGGTAAAGAGCGGAACGAGCATGTCGAACAGCCAGGCGACGAAGTAGGCGGCGCAGAAGTAGGCGGTACGGTTGCGTTCGCGCCATGATCTGAGGCGCCCAATGTGCTTGATGAAGCCTATCAAGCCCAGGCCGACGGTCATGTACAAGCGTTCGATGGTAGCGCGTAGCTTGTCGGGCGAGAATTCGTCTTCGTCGGCGATGTTCAGGTCGAGGTTGCCTGGTACGGGGTACGGATACTCCTTGACGTGGTACATTTGCTGTCCATGTCAGCCAGACTCGTACCATTGGGCGCCGGGTGTCTGAACTCACCTTGTTAAAGCGACGGACCAGCACCCAGAGCTCTTCGTTGTTCAAGCCGCCGACCAGTGGAGCAGGAATCTTGGAGGGTGGTTCATTCCAGCCTAGATCCTTGACCTCGGCGCCGTGAGCGAGCTGCGCGACTCCCTTGACCTCCTGGTCGGCTTGAGCGAGCGCATGGCTGGCCGTGGCTTCTTCGCTGAAATTCTGGGCTGCTTCCGTAGCCGTCGTCGCGCGCCTCTTGTACGGCTCGTGCGTGTCATTCTGCACGGCAGGGTGATTGATGGGATGCAGGTCCTGGTAGACCACACCCGTGCCTGTCGTCGATTCTGACATGGTTGTTGAGCTGTGTGCAGAAGGATCCACGCAGGTCCAGACTGTGGGGATGCTTTCGCAGAAGATTGTGCGGCGCTTTCATGACGGAAAGGCAATTACGATCCCTGCCGCCGTTCCCTCCCTCTCCACGCGTCACACGTCATAGATAGCCCTTTCCCATCAAGTTTCAGCTTCAACGATCGGCGTCGTTCTTGGCGCGGCTGGGTCGTGCACGTGCCCACTCTGGCAGAGCCTCAATTCATTCCCGTCAAACCATTGCTGCTCAGTGTCGCGGCATGCCGAATCTGATGGGCATGCTTCATGGACCGCGCACCTTGTTCTCCGTGGCGCAGAGAACGTGCGATCTCATACTGCGTCCCCAGACAGGACCGCGCCTTTGGTGGGATAAACGACACGCTTGCTGCTCCATTCAAAACCTGGGTGCACTCTACAACGCGGCAATTGATAGTCATTTCCAACAAGAACATTGTATGACTCAGGGGATGAAGTATTTGCAACCTTGCGTACTGATGCAACACTTCTTCTATCTACTGAAGTCCGAGCGTGGCACGCTTTCTTCTCTCTCTCCTGAGCAACACTGTCCCGAGCACCACTTGCCCAGCTGCTTCAGTCTCTTTCTTTCAACTGCTGCATCTCCAGATCTCGATCGACGTCTCTCACACTTGGACTGCACTTGACCCAACTACTGGAGTCGGATCTGCTGTCCACGCTGTTCAATACCCCCAACCTTCCTCCTGCATTCGATCTGGAGGACATCTGAGTCGGCGACCATTCTGGCGTTTCGCTGGGCTTGCGTAATGTGTAGTCGGCGGCGCTGGAGTCAACGAGGAACTTGCGATGGAAGTCGTGGCCACGAGCAGCCTTTGAAGGAGAAGCGGCTTGAGACGAAGCCCAGAGAGACGTCAGAGGCAGCGAGATGCATGTGGCCGTGAGAACGTTTGTGCCAATATTGTGCACATTCTCGGCGTTGATGAATTGGATGAGCGAGATGATTGCTGGAATCGAGGTCAGCTGTGTTGCGACAAGGAAGCCACAAAGAGAAGAAGAACGAAACTTACCGGGAATGAACATGGTCTGGAAACCGCCAATGAAGATGACCTGCATACTGCCAAACTGCTTCATGCCCAGCTTGTGACGTTCACGAAGCGACCAGCCCAATTTGGCGCAAAATATGGCACTGAAGAAGCAGATGCTCAGTGTCAAGGTGATGTCTTTCGCCTTTGCAAGCCAGCTCGTGGTGCTGCAGAACTCTTCTGCCTTGTAAAGGCACCTCACAGAGATCGCCGACTGTGCAATGCGAAAGCCTGTAGCGACGACCGCCACGAATGCAGAGACAACCAGGACAGACATTTTCTGCCACGTTCGCAGCGTAATACTGACCACATGAACCTGGAGTACCAGCGAAACCTCGATGCAAGTTGCGACAAGCGTGACAAACACCGACACCGCTACTGTCAGACGTCGAGCTCCAGGTGTCACAACGCCGTAGTCGCCCACCAGGATAGGGTAGATGTCCCAGAAACTGCTGGTCACGACGCAACATTGCAACAAGGCGTACATGGCGTTAAAGAGCAGGGCGGCGGTGTTGAAGATGAACACTGGCGAGCGTCGTTTGTCGTGCTTCGATAGAAGGACCAGGATGAGGAGGAGCAGGAGACTGGCGCCAAATTGGACACCTGGGATGATGCCACGGACGACGGCATTCTTGATCAAGGTGTCGATGTACCAGAGAGGGAAGCTGCTCTGTTCACCAAGACGATCGGTGATGGATATCGTCTGCTGATAGACTGCTGACTTGTTCATGACGAACTGTTCCGCTGACGGGGTGTCCATCGATTGTGGGTGCTCGAAAGGCTGAGGCGATGGTGCTTGAGTAGTATTCCGAGGAAGAGAGAGTGATGACGAACTCGGCCTGGAAAGAGGTTGTCGGTTATGGCCGGACAAGCACACAGCGACAATCTCACGCAAAGAATATGATGGAAGAATGCCAGACAGATTCAAGAAAGACCTAGTAGACGATTGTACTTGAACAATCTACCGAAGACTCCATTGACAGAGGACCGAAACAGGGAACAATACAAAGAAAAGGGGCATGTTGATAAATTGAGGTCACTATGGCGTTGAGGATCACTCGAGGTCCTCTGTCTCAGGAGACAGACACAGAGCGACGGAAGGATTGGGTACTTTGAGCCGATCGGCTCTGTTCGATTGTAGCACGGTAGGTTGTCGCACGATCGGCCCGAAGATATGCGACACGCGAGAGCAAGCAGTCACTTTTGTCTCAGGTGAGAGGGCGGCTTAGTATTGTTCTTCGGCCAAGCTTGTTGCCTTGTGAGAGCGCGCGAATTTCCTTTGACTGTAATGTCGGCACGATTGACGCAGCAGCTGGCTGTAGACTCGAGACACTTCGGCTACCTAGTGGAGCCTTGAGAGTCAAGATCTGAGCCATGGAGTCCAGGAATAAATTTCTTCCTGAACCTTTCTCCGTGTTCCGAACGAAGCGTTATAAGCTGAAGTACCCTGAAGCGCCGCACCCCTCGAAGCGCCGCAACGCGTAAACACTCAATTCTCGTCACCTTCTTTAATCAATCAATTCTTATACCACAACCACGTCGTCGTAATGGATCCACGCGAGCTCACGATACAAACCGCCCTCCACGAATTCAATACAGGTGTTTTCACATCCCTACGAGCCGCCGGTCGCGCGCACAACGTCTCCGAACGAACCCTTCGTCGCCGACGCGATGGAATTCTGGATCGGCGTACTGCTCACGCTCACGAACAACGACTGTCTCCACGACAAGAGGATTTACTTGTTCGATGGATACTTGAACAGGAGGCACAGGGGTTTCCTCCCTCTCACGCTCGCGCTCGTGAAATGTCTATTCGCGTTCTTCGTCTCAACGGCGACGATAAACCATTAGGCAAGAGATGGATCACAAAATTTATACGAGATAATACACGTATTGCCTCAGTTATTGGAAGGCCTATTGAGGCTGCTCGTATCAACGGCACGCATCCTGACCTCATTCAAGAGTTTTATACAGCTTACGAAGACGCTGTTCGCCTTCTTAACATTGAGCCTTCAAATACATACAATATGGACGAGCACGGAATTGCCCTTGATATCTGTGCTAACTCGAGAGTTCTTGGAGACTCCTCTCGTCAACGCTCGTATGTCAAATCACCACAAGATCGCGAATGGGTCTCAATTGTTGAAACTGTATCCCCAACAGGTGGCTTTACGCGCCCTCTGATTATATTTAAGGGTTGTAATCCACAGAGCACTTGGTTTCCTACTGAAACACCTGATTATATCTATACAACCTCTGAAAATGGCTGGACAACAAATAACCACGGTCTCCACTGGTCAACGAATCTTTCATCCTGAAACTCAACCTAATAGCGACAAATGGAGGCTTCTTATTCTTGATGGCCATAGCAGTTATACAACCATTGAATTCCTCTGGTTTTGTAAGCAACTTAAGATCTTTCTGCTATTCCTGCCCGCTCATTCATCTCATGTACTTCAACCTCTAAATTTGGGGGTTTTTTCACCTCTCAAATCGCGATACCGTTAACAAATTGCAGATTTAGCTGCACTTGATGATGCATCACCTATTAAGAAGCAACGCTTTGTTACCTGCTACCATTTAGCTCGCCTTGAGAGATTCACACCTCGCCATTTACGTGCGGGTTGGCTAGCTGCTGGTATCTATCTATTCAACCCTTCAAAAGGGCTGAATTCTTCCTAAATTCAGAAGGCCAGACAAAAGGCAATCACACCACCACTACAACAACTAGTTCCTACCTATCTTACTACCCCTAAAAGCTCACGTCAAGTTCATTTGAATACTCAATTTATTCGGAACAATCAAGACCAGAGACAAGCGCTCTATCAGGTTTATAAGAAGGCTGGTCACGCAATTGACAATCTCAACATCAGAAACGCAGAACTACAAGCTACTGTGGCCAACCAACAGGCTCAAATTGAAGCCCTCACCGT